CTCAGCTCTCTGCTTGGATGTTTACAGGAGTCTGATTCTTTTCACTTTTTTGTAAGGGAAATGGGAGGAAGAAGCAAATGTGAGAAATGTCCACAAGAGGAAACTGAGTATCACCATTAGTTGTCAGCATGGAGAAGTAGATGCATCTAACATAACTCTCCAGTTTCTGCTTTGGCCTGTTACATAGACAGTGGCCAAGGACTGAAAGGAAACACAGAGGAGAGAGAGAGGGAGGGAGGGAGGGAAGGGAAGGGGTAATGGGAGGGAAGGAAGGTGAGAAGGACAGAGAGAGACACACATCAGTGTGGGTCCTACCGAAGAAATGACCAGTGTGGGATGGCGCCCACATGGAGCACAGCTGGCATTATCTGTTCTTTGCTCAGGGATGCGTGCTGGGCTGGAGGTCTGGGTTTGGGGACAAGGGTATGGGTATACCTGAGGAGCAGTAAAAGAGATAGTTAAGAAATGGCCAAAGGAAAAGAAAGAAACGGGGGAATGGGGACCAGAAATAAAGAAGAGACAGGGGAAGTGGAATTTCAAACAGCAAATGCCATGGAGCAATTAAGACAAAAACAGAATCCACAAGATTGGACAATTACGAGGTCACTGGTGACCTGAAGAGAAAGAGATATTTAAGTGTTTGGGGTTTGAAATTCCTTTGCAGATGACTGAGTTCCAGTAGACGAAATGATGTCAGCTCCTACTGGACAGCACACTGAGGTCAGGAGTCAACACGAGGAACAAGACTGATGACCAGAGTCAGCATCCCAGTGACCCCAGATGAGGATTTCACGTTTCCCACAGAGGCACCAGGTATGTCCACATACCTTTGGAGGACGATCTGAAGACTTGGACACTCTGAAGAGGGGACTGGGAGTAAAACTGGTGGTCACAAGGAACTGCGGCTTGATCTCTAACTTTTAGTATTCTTTATAAGGAGAATTTATTCAAGTCTATACTTATATAATTAATTAAAATTAATTTTAAAATAAAATCTCCTACAAAGAAGGAGATAATATATCCACCGGTCTCAGAACTGACTGTGTGCAAGTGTGCTATGAAGTATTCTCAGCCAGGGCACGGGCCTTTTTTCTTAGTACAAAGTGGACCCTTATTATAGCTAACTGTCTGGTTTTTAACTCTAACACTTTAAGGATTACCTCTTAAGCCTCCTTCTAGCTAAATTGTCCTAACTAGAATTATTTTCATATAAAAATATTTTATAACAAACTAAAACTTAAAACATTTGAATGTATCTGAATGATGGCTAAATTATTTAGGTAATATTGGCCACCCAATATGACATTTTCTCAGACAGGACTAAGTTCCCTGAAGTAAGAGTGGCATCGTAAGACTAGAATAAGTAGATAACTGGGAATAAAGAGCATTTAGGGACCGAGCATTAGTTAGTCTCTTAACTCTTTTTTAGACATCTGACACAGAGTAACTTTCTCTTTATTATTAAAAACTATAACTAGATCTACACATAGATAGATATACAAATTTATTGTTCAGATATAAGAACAACAGTATTCAACCAAAAGTCAATTAGGGCCACTCTCTCTGCAATATAACTGAATGTAAGTAAATCATATACAAATTTTTTGCTAAAAATTTTTCAGGAAGAGTTTAAAATTATTTTTACATCAAAGTCATAGTTAGGAATATTTTGCACTTGTCATCTCTAAGCATCATTCACTTTTGTTTTACACTGAGAACTGGAGAGAAGCAGCCCAGGGTAAAGATTAATAGTATATTTATGAAACCCTAAATCACGACCTCTCCAAGACGGAGCAGTTTTTAAACAGGTTCCCTTCATTAAGGAATGAAGGAGTAATCCATTTTATCTCCTGCAAGATGAGGGACTAAATGGGACCCAGAGGAAAAATACTAAAAAATAAATTCAAGGTGATTCAAAGGAGTAAGTGTTCTTGTTTTAATATCCTAAGTATATTTTCTTTTAAAAATCGGCATTTGGGCCTTGTACAGCTTACAAGTTACAGAAAGAGCTTCCGAATAACTATAAAGATAATTTTACAAAAGAAATTAGTAACACCATTGCAAAGTCTGTTGGTTACATTTGAGAAAAATCTTCCCTGTTAAAGGAGCCTGCTCACGGGAGGGCTATCTGAAGGGGAATGCAAAATGAAGTCCATCTCTCAGTATTTTCTTGATTAGGCATAATTGGAGCATATCAGCAATCCTCTAAAATCTGTTCTTACAGAATTCATTGCTGCTTTTAAAATATTGTATTGCAGAAAAGTGTGGGCATCTACAGGGAGTTCTCTAGGCTTGGTGCTGTGCTATTTTCACCATGTTCACCAGCCACTTCCTCTAGTCAGCGTCAAAGCAAACAGTGAACTGTTCACTGCACATCAAGTCCTCCAAAATGTTGGATTCTTCAGAACTATAAAGTCTAAACAGGCAGCAAAGCAATGTTCTGGAAATCATATGCACTGACATGGCATTATTTTTAAAGGGCTTTAAAGAGTTTGAATAAGAAATGCAAAGCTTAGATTTTTTGTGTTTCCTATAGACAATAAAACCATCATTTATATTAATTACTTTTAGCTTAAAATACATGGTCAAATCGTCTTCACAACTTAATTCTTCGTTGTCAAGTGATATGCTCATGAAATCTACTCTGTGGCAATTTTTCAATTACTACAAATTCTTGCATAATCAAATATAAGAAACTGATCAAAGGAATTCTTTAATGAATGTGTCCTATCACACCAGGCACTGAAGTCTAAAGCTAGAGTTTAATGACACCTCCGTTGCACCAACGACACCAGCTAGCAAATTAAAATACACAAATTAAAAAACCAAAAACCAAAAAAAATCATGTAACACTTTCATTTTTGAAGCAAAAATATCATCAAATTCTTTTACACAGGATTTAATATATTTTCAATTTACAATTAAAGTAAAAACTATCACTGATAAACTGTTGAAACAAGAGAAGGGCTGCTCATATACAGGTAATGTTGGATTTTCCCTGCTATTTCAATTCTCATTTCACTGTAAGTGATGGGTGCTGCTGGTGGAATTCCCAGGGGCAGATGAGAGCACCCTAAGAGTCAGGCTTTCCTTTGGAGAGGCAATGAGAAAGAGTGAAAACTTTCATAGCTTGGAATGTGGTTGTGAAACACATCCTCTATTCTAGGCTTATGAGCTTTTCAGCTGGTAAATCAAAACCCTGTTATACACCAGGATAACATTCATGACAATTCTCCACATTTTATCTTCTTAAAAATCAAAGGCTCGGTCCTAAAGGGTTAATAGAGGAATTACAAAGTAACTCTCTAGTTTGCATTTCCCATAATACTAAAATAAAGCTGCTTCTTTTAGTCCAGAAATTTGCTTTTTTAATACTGTGAAAAGCCTCCATGAATCTGTTTAACGTATTTACTTCTTTTCATCTATTCAGTGCCACTGGGCATAACCTGTAATGCAGTGCGTGTTGATATTTTGCAAAGCGCCACATGACTCACTGTACCCTAATGCGCTCCATTAATCCTGTTTGGACAGCTGGGTCCGGGCGTTTGTTAGCTGCACTCTAATTGTCCCATCTTTCTTTTTCTTCTTTTTAGTTATCTCTATGGCAAACTACTCAGGAATTTAATTTGTTGATCTTCAAAAAGCAAATTTTGCCATTAATTTGTTTTCTTTGTATTAAAAGTATACCTACCATGCAATTTTCTTCCATAAATTCAGTATATACCACTATTAACAATTAATCTTAAGTAACAGATCACAGTAAGTAAGTTTTTTAAATGACTAAACGGTAGGGTGGCTATAATATCATAGGAATTACTGTTGGACTGTGACAATACAAACGATATCACTCAGTTACAAATGAAGTTACTGTCGTGCATACTTTTGGCATTTTCAAGATTAGCACCCCACAAGCAGATGTCAAAACAATAACAAGTCCTGTAAAGCAAACACAAAAGAGGTGAGACCACTGAGTAAATAAGCTGTGTATTCGTCTACGGAACAGCGGTCCCTTCCCACTGAATACTTAGATTTCACTTCTTGCTAAAACATGAAATTCTCGGTAAGGGTTGCACAGATAACCATAAAGCCTCTATTTCCCTCTCGCATCCTGCCTCCCTGCTGCCCAGGAGTCTTGAATCAACAAGGGAGGCAACAGAAGAGGTAAACAAAGGCAACTCAAAGCGACTAGTAATTTCTGTTATGAGCAAGTTGGCGCGGTTGAATGATGGGATTCTTCTAATCATTTGTGAACACTCTTAAGTGGAAACCTAAGTCCAGAAAACCAAACAGAACTGCCTAACGGAGACTTTGGTCTGAAATAACATTTAGCCAAGAAGCGAGATCACAGACTGTAACATGCTTTATAAAAGAGCAGAAGGGCCAAGTGAGGATTTGCCCAACTTTCTAATGACAACGTAGAAATGTGTTACTTTTAAAAGATCCTTCCTATAAAAAATTAAGAAAACTATATAAATGACAGGCAAGAAAAAAATTAAAAAACTAAAGGATGCCCTTGAGATCAGCTCATGCTCTCAAAGATCTCCCTGTTTTCAAGTCTATTTCATGGACATGAAGCAGCTTAAAGTAAGTTTTACACATTTTCAATTTTTTAAACCACATACTAAAAGTTTTTAAAAAACATTTCATGTAAGAAAAATTAGTTTAATACTTTCTAGACGTTAAACAGTGTGTTTTTTTTTTTTAAATATCACAGTTTTCTCACTGGAGAACTCAAAAAGCTTAACTACTCAGTAGAAAAAACTGCCCATTGTTTGAAGAAGGAACATTTTTAAGTATTTAAAAAAATAAATTGTTTTGGTATGGTTCTTACATAACCTAAGTACAGAAGTAAACTTATAAAATAATGTGAAAGGAAATATTATATTTCAAAGGATGGTCTTTTTGAAAAAGTGCAGAAACTACAAGTTAAGGCAGAAGTTTAAGAAAGATACGATTAACAAGGTATGGACTTCAAATGGACATTTCTCCCGGAAACCTACCCAGTGTTCTTGACATCACAGGCAGTGCAGAGCTCAAGACCAAGATGGACACACAATTCCCAATGATCTATGTGGGGATCACAAAGAATATTGGGCAGTCAGACAGCAGAATGACGAATGCAGTCAATCCACTCACATTCTGGGAACTCACTGCACATCCTACTCACCTTGCACTGCTGCACTGTACTCTGCTAACTTCTTAATGATATCACTCAATATAGAACTTAAAGAGAGTAAGAAATGTTTTCTACAAATATTTAAAGTTACATCTGTAAAGTTCTAAAAGACAGGGACAGTAGTTGGCACGACTATCAAGTTATAGGACACTGAAATCACATCTCAGACAACGCATCTTACATTACTGGTTGCGGTTGCCAATTTTAAAAAGGTTTGCCTGTCAAGTAAAATAGAATGAATACATTTAATACTTCTGACTATATTTTTAAAGCCAGACTACTGCTCAAGATATATAATATCTACTTCTAACACATTAAACTATTATAAGTTTTAATCCCAAAATGCTAGAAATCTAAAAGCCCTAAATTCTAATAATTCATTCCCAATGTGTCCGACGCTTATTCTTCCCTATCAAATAAAAGGAGCTGAAATACTGACTAATGCTGATGGTCACTGACACTAGATGCTACGCATCTCAACAAGTCAGAGCATTCTATAGATATGTAAACAAAGCACATAAAATAACTTTTCCTTTTTAAGATAGGCTGAAAATATGTGATCTATAATAAAAAGAAAAGAAACCAGCAGCTCTTATTACTTATTCTTCATGGTCAGGCTGTGGGAATATTTTAAAAAGATGTAGTCACTATATAAGGTAACAGTCTTTGTCATTCCAAAGCCAATGACACATTGTAGGAAGTCAAATTAGCCTCAGACTACAAAATGTTTCTGAATAGAACTCTTCCGTCTTGCTTTAATTATTCAAATTTGAAATACTTTGTCTCTACTACTTGTAGCAACTAAGTTCTTCAGATTTCAAACAAGCTCCCTGAAGTACAGTTTGCACAATCAAAGTTACTCATTAGCAATACGTTTTCTTTAGAGGAGAAAGAGCCCTTTCAGTAGCCTTCTGCGGCTGGTTAACAAGCTCTGCAGTTCTATGCATTTCCAAGTGAATGGATGCCGTCCAAATTAAACAGAGCAGCACATCCTTTTCCCACTCATTCAGCATTTTCAAAATCTTTCAGTTTGTGTTTATGCAATTTACAAACAAATACCTATCGCAGCAAATGAACCATTCAGGGCGATTACAAAAATAAAACAGTTCATTTGCCTTGGAATGCAAAAGGGAGGCACAGGCACCTAAGACTTTGCCTTACCTTTGTCATAGTTGTGTCATCCTTCTTGGGAATAAAATTTCCAAAAAATCGCAGGCTATAGAAACCGACAACAGAGGATACCATAAGATAGCTGTGAGAATCAAGGAAAAAACTCTCCAAAGAATGCAAGTTTCCTTAAGTTCTCAGTAGTCTCCAGAAACTCTTGAGGTCCAAAGGAAAAACAAAACAAAAAGCCACTTGGTGTGCTTGAGGAAGACTGACTTGTTTTTCCCTTCTAGGCAAGTGTCTTAGTAAATTACCACTGTCCCAGAAACTAAACAGAAAATTTGTTAAACAATGTTTAGTTAAAGAAAGGATACAAAATCAAAATGATTTCAAGTGCAGCTCCCACAAAACCAAAAGCAGAAAGAGAAGCATTTCCTATTCCAGGACCCTGGGGGGGGAAAAAAACCACTTTTCAGAATTCAATGACACTATACATTTGCTTTCCCTAAAACTATTTCTTAAATACAGGAATTAGGACTTTTAATACCCTAAAACAGCATCTAGATTTTCTAAGAATAAAACATGACACTAGACTGCATTCGCCAACTAATGCAAGCATGTGTTAATAATTTCAACAAGTTCAAAACATCTCTGATTTATCTAAAATGTAATTTACTCATAAAAACGATATTGTGCTTATTGTTAAGAGCCCTGAATCTTATTGGAAGAAATTTCTTTAAAACAGTACCACAGGAATAGAAGATATAGTTATTTAAATAAACCTTATGACAACATATAAAAATTATACAATTAAAATATATCAAAGTAGGCTAAGCATAGAAAGACTGAATGTGCATATCCTATTTCTACAGTTGAAAATTTTGTTTCCCCAAATCTTCCTTGGGAATTCAGACATTTTTAAAAGATATAACTTAGTTAACACAAATTGTTTTAATGTAACACTACACAGTTTTCCAAAACATTATAGCTATTGTGGAAACCTATCTTTATCTAGAACTTAAAAAAACAAGCAGAAAAACTAGCATTTATTAATGAGACCAAACAGGCAAAAAAATAATTTCTTATTAAAGTAGGAAGAATATTTTCACAGCTTACCAATTAAAGGAAGTATTCAAATATGAACTACTATTCTACTATCAGCTCTAATTGTAGCAAACAAAAATACCAGGAAAATTAAGAATGTATAGCCAGGTTAATAGAAAATAAACCAATAAGTAATATCATACATATCATATACACATTCTAATTTTGGCCTAAAGAAGTAAGAATACTCATGGAAATTTCATATATATATATATATATATATATATATATACAAATCAAAGACCTATCAACTTTTTGTTAATCTTTTGACAAAGAAATGAATGCTAATGGCTTACTGGCTGGGTGAAAAACATTTTGGATATATTCCCTGTCTCAAGAGAAGTCCTCCAGGCAGGATTAGGATGATCTGATTTATTTACAGAATCATGCATGGGCCCTGCTCCCTCTGTGTGATACACTAAGGGGATGGTACAAAAATGTACCATGGCGGCATGGGACTTACGCAGCGTGCAATGTATAACAGAGGGTCACAAAGTGAACAGAAGCCAACATAGTAGATAACTTCCTGCTCTATCAATGAATTTGGGTCTAAACAAAAGATAAAGACCAGGCTGCAGATGAAGTACCCTTCAGTGTTGTTTGCTTGTGGAATGAGGCACCTGGAAAGCTTGGTGGCAGGCTAGACAGTGGGCAGTAACAGAAGGCATAAGGTCCAGCAAAAGTTAGAGGAGGGCAGGATCTAACTGGAGAATATGCCTGAAATTCAAAGAGGAGGGCATCTCCATTGTGGACTGAAGGGAAGAAATTTAGGTTGATGTTGGCTTGTTTCTACGAGAGGAAAGGGATACATCCTCTGGTTCAGAGAGAGAAGTGGCACTAAAAGTCTGGAAGAGTTTTGAAGTCCTTTCTATGGGGAATAAGAAAGCTACTGACTTAGAAAAATATATGAAAACATTAGAATGTAAATGCTACTTTAAGTAATCAAAAGTCTACAGAGTCCTAGAAGTGTGCTAAATATGCATCTTTAGTGATAACTACCTTCTAGATGGAGAATATATTTAAACAGGCTAAAAGATAGAATTTAATAGAATCATCAACTTTTAGACAAGAGAGAAAACAAAGTTAATTCATGAAAAGATATATATCTGACTCTCCTCTAGTAACTAAACATTTGACTCAGTTTCATAAAATGCGTGACTCTCTTGAAACCTGAGTGCCTACCAGCCACATACCAGGATCTTCAGCAAACACTACGACTCCATCCAATAAACTCCTTCCACATCACTATTTCACAGAGTATAAATTTTCGTAAAGAATTCCAAATATGAACTACAGCAAAATAAAAGTAAACTGTGATACAAAGTCTAAAAGGAAAATGATATCCGATAAAAGGGCTAGCCAACTGAGTAAGAAATTAGAAACAAGTCATAGGTCACGAGCACTGTTTACGAAGGCTCTTCACATAAGGAAATTCATACAACCTGAAACATAGGTACAGAAAGGTGATGTTTTAAATTACTTATTTGAAACACTCAGGGTATATATACAGAACACTTTTGCAAAAGAAAGACATTTAAAGCAGTTTACCCTTGTTCCCTTTGGCATGGCTGTTTCATCAACCAACAGGCAAAGAATATTACAAGCCACCAAGAGGACCGAGATGGACTACAACATAAAAAATGATCATCAGTTCTGAATTTCACAGATATTTTGTGAGTACACATGTATTAAAATCTAAGTTATAGACCAAATATATGCTTCAGAACAGAGAAGACCAAAATTCTACACACAAACGGGAAGTAATCAAACTATCTGCAAAAACTCTAAAAGCTTCTGCAAATTATTACAATTTCAAAGCTTGTGACTAAAGCTAATAATATAGATTCAGTTACTGAATGATTCCACCAACTGGAAACCCACAACTCCACAGATTTAAAAAATGGCTAATAGTTATCAGAACTAATTAAGAATATAATTTTCACATCCCATCAGAGTCTGAAGCAAGATATCTGCAATACCTCATCTCTTAGTTCTAAATGGCGCCAAAGAATAAATGTCCTGTTTCCATGAGGAAATAGTTAATCTTGAGGACTTAAAAAAAATGCCATTAATTTCCATTTTTGCTTTATTGAGTTTTTCCAAATACAAGTATGGATGGATTTTAACCCTGTTGACAGAAAACCAGTTTACTTGAAACCATTTAGCTGAGGGAGTTACCATATTCAAATACCAAAGTAAATAAAAAATAATTTGCTTTATTTAACTAGGCAAATAAATTCTTACTGTCTCAATTAGAAGGAGAACCATAACAGCAGGATACACCAAATTTCTTTCCCATGCTGAAGCTTTTTTTCGCCTCTCTATTAGGAAAAAAAAACAAAATACAACAAAGATTTCCAAAAATTCTCTTCAGAATCACGTTTTCATTCCTTACTGTTAGAATTAGTATGTATTATTTTTATATAGTTTCTTTTTCACAAACACAAATTATTTTTTATTTTCCTCCATAAACTATAAAAATCAGAGTTTTAAAATCACTTTGCTACGTTGAATAGTTCAATCCTATAATGCTTACATTTTAGCTCTGTAAAGACATTTCAGTTTCTAACAAAATGTACTGTTAATACACAGCTTGCTATAAAAATATAGAAATGTTTGTATTTTATGTAGATTTACATATTGATATAGATTTGAGTGACTAAATTAACATGAGTAAAAATCCCCTCTAATCCAAAGATAAAAACCTCCAGTTTTCTAAAGGTGGAAGCAAACTTCTGGCTACAGTGATCTACGTGATATCGCACCAATCCTCATGCTATGAACAACTGGTAAGAACAAACTTAACTAAGAAAAAAGTCTGCATGAAGGAATCAGAATTACCACAACAAAGCTGTGAGGTCAATCCTCTATGAAACGGATTGATGTGAGCCCTCCCACTTGCACTATCTTTCCCTCAACAGTTTTCCAACGTATAATGACGTGGCCCCATGAAGCTGAGAAATGAAGCAAATATCAGTGAGTAAAAGAAAATGATGCTAAAGCAATGCTTTCAGCAAACTCAACAGCATCAGGAAAACAAAAATTGGAGTGTGGGGCTACCAAAGAAGCCAAAATTTGAGAGGCTATAATCACAGAGAAAAGCAAAGGAAAAAGAAGGAAGCCGAACGTTCAGCCTCCTGCCCTTCAAGGCACAGTGGCCAGCAGGCTGAAAGAGTGACAGGAAGGTACAGCAAAGAGAAGGAGCAAAGCTTCTGTCAGGCTCCCGTTTCTTTTTCTTTTTCTTTTTTTAAAGATTTTATTTATTTATTTGACAGAGATCACAAGCAGGCAAAGAGGCAGGCGGAGAGAGAGGAAGGGAAGCAGGCTCCCTGCTGAGCAGAGAGCCCAGGACCTTGGGATCATGACCTGAGCCAAAGGCAGAGGCCTTAACCCACTGAGCCACCCAGGCGCCCCCAGGCTCACGTTTCTTGAGATAAAAACTAACGTTCAGGGTTCATGAATAAGATGGTATCACAGCCAACAACAAAACACCCAAGCTCTCACTTAGGAACGCTATACACTAGGAGCAAGGCCAAACTGCAAATCGACCTGCCCTCGTGAAGACCAAAACCCACTCTGGAACAATCACCAGCCCAGACAGGTGAAAGGATCTGTCCCTACTCTTAACTGCAGAGCAGAAGGAAAAGTAAACCCTCTCAAGAAGAAAACATTATCCAGAGTTTTTATTTTGTATAAGAAATGCCTGACAATCAAACATTCCCTGGAGACAAGACAAAGAAAAAAGATAATAGATACAGACTTTCAGTTTATCCAAATATTGAACTTACCAGAAAGAAGCCTTAAAATAACTGATTAATATGTTCAATAAGATAAGTGACAAGATGGCAAATGTCATAATTTGAATTGAGGAAAATAACTGAATGAAAATTCTAGAACCGAAAAATACTGTAACTAAAATTAAGACTTCAGGAGATAATTTAGCAATAGTTATGACACAGCTGAAAAGACCATGAAATGGAAGACACATCAATAGAAAAAATTACAGATCAAAGAATGTGGTAAAGGAGGGGAAACTCAGAAAATAATACAGGAGTGAAAAGGTCTAGCGCATATGCAGCTAGGGTTGAAGGAACTTAAAGAAAAGGAATAGCAGAAGCAGTATTTGATGAGACAATGGCCAACAAGTCCCCAAATGGATAAAAGACATTAGGCTACACGCTGATGAAGTAGCACAGATCTCAGAAGAATAAACACAAAGAAAACCAAACCTGAGCACATCAGGCTAGAACTACTAAACAAAGACAAAAAGAAAATCCTAAAGCTTTCAAAAGGGCAACGATACAACTTTTTTAACCAGAAACCAGAAGACACTAATAAGACATCTTTTCAATGTTGAAAACTATCAAATAAGAATTCTAAATTCTGTAAAAATGTCCTACTGATGAGAAGGCAAGTAAAAATGTTTTCAGGAAACAAAAACTGAGAGAATCCATTGCCAACAAACTAGCACTAATGAAATGCTAACAGATGTTCTTCAGGCAGAAGCTAAATGAACACTGAAAACACAAATCAGGGACATATAAATTAAAACACCAGTGAAAACGACTTCACAACCACTAAATTGGTAAAAATGTAGAGTCCAACACTGTCAACTGGTGACAAAGATGTGGAGCAAGATGTCTTACTCATGCTTAAAACAAATGCAAAATAATACCACTACCTGGGAAAACGATTTGGCATTATTTTTAAAAAAGTTGTACGTCCACATACTCAATGAGCCTATAATTCCACTTCCAGGTACATATCCTAAAAAAACATATGTACCAGAGATATGGAGAACAATGTTTATACCAATATTATTCATAACAAAAGATAAACACATCAAATATCCATCAACCATAGAATGAATAAAGTAACTTTAGGCAATATGATGTTGTTTACAAAAATGAAAATGAGAGCAACCTATAGAGTGGGAGAAGGTATTTGAAATGATATATCCACTAAAGAGTTAATATCCAAAATATACAAGAATTTACACAACCCAGCACCAAATTAAAAAATGAAAAGAGGACTTGAATAGACATTTTTCCAAAGAAGACATCCAGATGTCCAATAAACACATGGAACGATGCTCAACATCATTCACCATCAAGAAAATGCAAATAAAACCACAATAAGTTATCACCTTATACCTGTCAGAATAACTAAAATCAAATAACACAAGAAATAACAAGTGTTGGCAAAGATGCAGAGAAAAAGGAACCCTCGTGCACTGTCGGTGGGAATACAACCTGGGGAAGCCACCGTGGAAAACACTATGGAGGTTCCTCAAAAAATTAAAAATAGAATTACCAAACAATCCAGTACTTCCAATACTGGGTACCCAAAGAAAACAAACAAGAAAAACAATTTTTATTGTTTTTTTGCAGCCAAGACATGGAAACAACCCAAGTGTTCATCCATAGATGAATGAGTAAAGACTTGAAACATATACATTCACACATACACACACACGGGAATATTACTCAGCCACAAAAAAAAGAATGAAATCTTGCCATGTGCAACAACATGCATAGAGCTAGTGTGTACTACACTAAGTAAAGTATGTTAGTCAGAGAAAGACAAATTCCATATAATTTCATTCAGATGTGGAATTTAAAAAACAAAACAAAGTAAAAAAGGAAGGAAGGAAGGAAGACCAAAAAAACAGACCCTTAAATACGGAGAACAAACTGGAGACTGGCAGAGGGAAGTGGGTGGAGGATGGGTTAAATACCACGATGAGCACTGAGTAATATGCGAATTACTGAATCACTATATTGTATCCCTGAAACTAACATAACAGCACATCGTAATGACACTTCAATGAAAAAAGAAAAATGAAAATGAATAAATTTTCAACAACAAAACAATTTCTGAAGACAAAGTAATCACAGGGACCAATTTTCTACCCAGGCTGAAGGAATCAGGAAACAAAACACACATGCATATGAAACAGTTTCGACCCTGGATATGCAGTCACGGAAGACAATGATCTCTGAGAGGTGGGAAGCAAAGAGGCAAGCCGTGGGTTTGCCCTGCTTACGGTCTCTCGACAGTTTACTGGCCACAGTAGTGGGCACAGGAACCCAAGCAAAGCCCTACTTATTCGTTGAGTTGAAGACATAAAACAGGAGTGTGGAGAAACCTAGTTAGCTGGACTGTACAGAGCAAAGTGCCACCGACAAAAGTCCCCAGACTCCCCCGGATCTTCAGAGAGTTATCTTTGAGTCTTCAGTTGGGTAAAGATCAGCTCAGGTACATGAACAAACCACCCTCAGCTGAAGAAAGAACCACCCAAAAAGGTTAGATGGAGCAGCAGTAACCAACCATTATAAAGGGCCAAGAATAGGGCCTGTTCCCCCAAGACAGGAACAAGACCTCATCAATCATGAGCACAGTTGCCTTGACTGACCCTAGAGGAAATGCTGCTCTAGCCGTGCCTGACAAGCCTTCAGAGCAAAACCCAAGAATATCAAACTGCTTCCAAGTAACTTAACTGCATCCCAGAATAAAGTTCCACACTTATGGGAATACAAAAACATCAGCAACCAGCAATAAGATTCTCAGTGTCCACTATCCAATCAAAAATTGCCATGCATAAAACCACAAAAATACACCCAATGATGAGAAGAAAAGTCAATCAATCAAAATCTATCAAGAACTAACACAGAAGTTAGAATTAGCAGATAAAAACACTATAAGTGCTACTATATAATGTATGCCATATTTTTTAAAAAGTGGAGGACACAGACTAAGTTCTAAACAGAACTTCTATATATAAAAACTACAGTATCTGAGAATGCCTGGGTTCAGTCGGTTGAGCATCTAATTCAATCTCAGCTCAGGTCTTGATCTCAAGATCGTGTGCTCAGGCCCTGCACTGGGCTCCACACTGGGCATGGAGCCTATTTAAAAACAATTTTTAAAAAATGCAGTATTTGAGAATACAATAGATAGGATTAAATGTAGATTAGATACGCAAGAGAAAAGAGTAGTGAACATGAACATATAGTAATAGGAACTATCCAAAATGAAACACACAGAAAAAAAAATCTGAAAAATAAAGGAAAATCCATGAGTTTGGGGGGCAACTTCGGGGGGGGGGGGGAGCAGTGTACATGCAGCTGGAGTCCCTGAAACAGGGGCACAGAGAAGAAAAGAAAAAAACATTTGGAAAAACAGTGGCCAAAAATGTTCCAAATTAGATGAAAACTATAAATTCCCAGATCCAAGAGACTCAATGAACCCAATGCATCAGAAGCATAAAGGAAACTACTCTAAAGCACACGTGAATCAAACTGTTCAAAGTCAATGACAAAGAGGACATCTTAAAAGCAGAGAGAGAAAAAAGACTCAAAAGATGAGGATGACAGAAGATTATTTGTCAGAAATAATGCAAGTGAAGAGACAACAGACTGACATCTCTGAACATCAGCATCTGAAAAGTCATTTTATGCTTGTATGAAACAAAAAAAAAAAAAAAGAAAAAAAAAAATGGGAATTTATCCTCTCCCCAAACTAAGAAACAGTCTGTATCAATAGCTTTGGACAGATTGGAAGCTTATAACATACACTAAAGATTTCATAATTTTTTTGAATATTTCAGACTATAGGAAAGTCTTTGGAAAGAATCCAAGACCAGTACATGAGTCAAGAACAAAAATGTACAGTACCTAATTTTGTCTTAAGAGTCTTCACATTTTCAAGTTCTTGTTCCAACTCCATTATATTGTATTCCACTGATGAAGACAGTCCTGTCAAAAACAAATACATTTTAGAAGTGCAACAACAGAACCTTAACGGCATAGAATGGGTAGCCCTCAAATTAAAATATAGGATAACACACTACAAACCCTGATCACAGAGAATAAAAACAAATGCTGTTGTGATCCACTGGAAAATATATCCATTTCTTCATCACTTAAGACTTCAAGTTCTTACTGATTAAATACTACCTGTTTCCTAGAAAATGCCTGACTTTGATAAACTTTTACTTGATCCATTGTTAATTTTTCAATAATGACAAAAGTATCATACGACTATAGAAAGTGGAAGAAATGCACGATCTCATTCTCTAAACCACCTCCCTAAAGGGACAACTGGTAACAGTCTGGTTGATGCTTCCACACCTTTCTTCATGATCATGTAACTATTCATGTATATACACATATCATACACATGGTTTCTATTATATATCTTATAGGAGTGGATTAAAGCAGACATGTTATTTTACCACTTGCTTTCCTAATCAATGATACATCCATGTTTACAGATAGTGCCAACACCTTTAACAAATGAATAACATTCTATAGTATGGATGCATTTCAATTTTATTCAGAGTTATTCCACTTATGACTAGTCAGGTTTTCCTCTGTTTTTTGCAAGTACACAAAATGTTGAGCAAAAATTTCTGTATGCATATCCAGCATATTCTAATTCTATTGTTTCTACAGGACAGAGTCCCAAAATTTCAATTGCGGAGTCAAAGGATATAAGCATGTACAGGTAAGAGATATTTAAAGGTTACTTCCTTCCAAATATTGTAATTTACTGTAATGGTTTAAATACTGTAATAATTTTTAAAAATAAGGACACCTAGATGGCTCAGTCAGTTAAGCACTGGACTCGATTCCGGCTCAGGTCATGATTTCAGGATCGTGAGATCAAGCCCCACAATAAGCTCTGCACTGGGCATGGAGCCTGATTAAATTCTCTCTCCCCCTCTCCCTCTGCCCTTACTTCCATGCTCACACATGTGTACACACACACACACATTCTCTCTCCCCCAAAAATATGAAAAAAAAAAGAAATTATTATAATAATTTACATTTCCATTTATAACTTTTGAAAGTACCTATTTTCTTCCTGTATTTACCCTAGCACTGGATGTTGTAATTCTTGAGTTTTGGCCAGTATGATGGATAAAAAATGTTTTCTTATTGTTACTTTAACATGCATTTCCCTAAATGTGGTTGAGCATCTTTTCAGATGTTTATTTATCACCATCTGTGGGACTTTCCCCCTGGGCTACACAGACTCCCCAGACAAGACTCTTCTGATCTCCTTGAGATATTAAGCTGTCCGAGTGAAGGGAGAGGGGAGCCTGTGAGCACTCACCCCATCCTCTACTTCACACTGTGTCCAGGCCACAGCCTCTGTTTCACTTTCTGGAGAACAACCCTCCCTCTTCTCTTGGCAGGAAAGAGGCAGTGCCTGGTACCTTGGATGAAGGGAAAAACGTGGAGATCAAATCGCTTCATCAACAGGATCTTCAAGTAACCTCCTTACTTGAAACTCACTCCACTTCCGTATCTGCTGGTGCCCCTTCTTGAGACTCTGGGGGATTCCAGGATATAAATCAAGCACAGACGGCTTAGGATTTAGCTTCCTTGGGTCTGGCTAAACTGATTACTTCGAAGGTTTTCTCAGGTCTGCTAAATTCCAAAATTTTATTGGGATTTTCTCAAGTTCTCATTCTCTGACCCCAGTGTTCTCCCATGTGAAATGAGATGTATTTATTAGAATGTTTTCCACTGAACCAAAAACCTCAATTCAAAGAAGCTTTAAAAAAAAAAGAAAATAATTTCATGAAATCAGGAGTTTAGACACAGAGTGGGCTTCAAAGTAGGTTTTTTCCCCACAGCTCAACAGTGATATCCAGGGACTGAGTGCTGCCATCTATAAGTTGGCTTTTTATGAAGACTGGTGGCTCTTTCTCCTTTCATGTAATTTCATAATATCTGTTTATTTTGCTCTTTATTTCTTCTTTTCCCAGCTAGTAGAACTTCTATTTATTCTTTTCCCCCATGTTAATTTGGTCCTTTGGTGGTTACTTTCTCACTGTTAACACACATAGACTTGTACTTTTTTTTCAATATAATATAGTTATAATCCCATAATGATGCTTTACTGAATAGCTCCTGCACCAAGGTGACGCTTTCATACTTTTATCTGTTCTTTCACTGCTTCCCACCCACTCCTCCTAAATCCTGGATTTTGCTCAGATTTATTTAAAAATATTTAGTATACTAGGGTGCCTGGTGGCTCAGTCGGTTAAGTGTCTGACTCTTGATTTTGGCTCAGGTCATGATCTAGGATCATGAACTCAAATCCTGAGACAGGCTCCATGCTGGCATAGAGCCTACTTAAACTCTCCCTTTCAAAAAAAAAAAAAAAAAAAAAAAAGACTCTCCATTTCCCTCTACCCCTCCCCTGGCCCCTCTAATTAATTAATTAATTAATTTTTTGGTATAAGATTATAATTAAATTTTTCTTTCAGTATAAAAGTTGCCATATCCTTAATGTCTAGAATAGTATCTAGCACAAACCAGATACTCAACATACAGATATGAAATGAAGGAATAAACAAATGTCTTTTTTGGTCCTAATATACATATGACATATTTATAAATATATGAGTTTTTCAATGGAATATTCCCCCCCAACCCTTAAAACTAACAATATTATTCAATAATCCTTAGCAGGTTACAAATGGAAAGTTTGATGTTGATTTCTCACTCCTTTATAAGTGATTTTTCTATAAGAAAGCTTGTAAGGTGTTTTATTATCACTATTCTTAGAATTTAACAATGTTACACAATAAATCTAGATCTTTTAAATGTCCTGTTTAATAACCTTTTCTAGGACTCTGGTCTTTTAACCTGCACTAAAATCTTTCTTCAGCTTGACATTTTCTTCTATTATCTACTTACTTAATTTTTTTCTACTTGTTCTTTTTCCTCCTTCTAGATGCTTACTACTTAAATTAAGTAGCTTAGCTCTACAGTCTGTGTGTCATTTCACTGGTGTTTCCCTCTCTTTGTACTTTTGGTTTGTGACATGCAACAGGCCTCCCACTAGATTCTACCAGATAATTCATTCAATTTTCAGAAAGACTGTCCTCACTCCCATTGCTGCTGTAACGAAGTACATTAACTCAGTGGCTTAAACACTACAAATTTATTATCTTACAGTTCTAGAGATCAGAAGTCTGAAATCTGGGTGTCAGCAGGACTGTGTTACTTCTGGAGACTCTAGGAGAGCATCTGCTCCCTTGTCTTTTCCAGCTTCTAGAGGCACCTGCACTCCTTGGCTCATGGTCCCTTCTTCAGGTCACTCTACATTTACTTCCACTGTCACATCTTCTCGAACCCTCACTTATAACAATGCCATGAGGACACCGGGCCCAGGAGATCATCTGGGATAATCTTGAGCTCTTCACCTAATTACCTTACAAAGTCCCTTTGGCTATGTAGGGAATATGTTTACAGGATCAGGGTGGTTAGGACTTGGCTACTTCTGCAGGGTCACTATACTGCCTATCATAAGCACTACTTCATCTTTTGTCTACTGAATTTTTAATTTTTTTTTCATATTCTAGGTGGCCTTTTGTTGTTGTTGTTCTAATTATATCTCCTTAAAAGTCCATATTACTTTTGGGGACTAGGTATAAATTCTTATTTGTCTCTACATTAACTTTCAACTTCAGTGGGCCTCGTTGTAGATACTCATCTTAGCCTTCTTCACTCGGTCTCCAGTGAGTGCGCGTTCTCTTACGCGCTACTGTTCCCTCCACACTGAATCAAGTCAGACAGTCCTTCAGACAATGCAAACCATTCTGAGGGCCCAGCAATTTCCGTTTCGGGCGCCTAGGGATAAACTGGCCAGAAACAACAATGCAGGAAGAAGTGTCAGTGCTCTGGGGTTTCTTTCTGCAGCAGTTCTCCTTTCTCTAAGGGAGAAAGAAAACAGAGGATTCAGGCCCAAAGTGCAAGACGGCACAGGTGCTAATGCACTAGGGGAATTCAGAGGCTCTTTTTCTAAGCCCTCTTAGAGAATCACAAAACTCTAGTCTTACGCTGCATTTCTAGGAAAGGTAAGTACTATATGCTCTCTGAATCTCCTTCCTCACTTGTGTCCATCACTGAAGAGAGAGAAATTCAATGCCTTCTTTGGGGGGCCTGAGGTCTTGAATGCACTGAACTGTTCTATAGTATTTCCAGAGCTTCTGAGTTTAATCATTTTACTAGTCAATATATAATTGACATTTATAGGAGAACAGGGTTAAAGACAGAGATATTCAGGAAGTGCAGCCCAAAACTACTAAACTTTGACTATGAATGCAGTTTATAGAGTTTCTGGTAACCAAAGCCAAAGGGAGACAATTAAATCATAGAATCAACGAATGTCTCCATATAAGAACAAGACTTACAGTAAGATGACATAGTATTATAAGGTTTGCAAGTGTCTTTGAATCAAAGCTTAGACTACAAAACAGTCTTACAGATACCTTTTGCTTTTTAGCCCATTTCTTCATAAATTATATGGTGTGTATCTGTAGTTAATGCTCCTTGAACTTCTCTATCTGATTAATTACAAATACAATTCCAAATTACACTTCATTCCCTATATTTATAAAGAAGCATTATTCCGGGGGTGGGGGAGAAAAAGATGGTGGAGGAGTAGGGGATCCCATTTCAACTGAATCTAGCTGGATATCTACCAGACCACTCTGAACAACCATGAAATCAGCCCGAGATGTAGGAAGATATATCTGGATCCATACAAACAGAATATCTCCGGCGGTTTGTTTCAAGGTATGAAGGTATGAAGCAGGCCATGATTCTGCAAGCAATATTGGAAAATAAATGGAAGGGGGAGGGAGCCTCTAGGATCCTGTGCCTCCTGCACTGGGGACTGGGCACAGACTCACAGATTGGTACCAGAAGGGAAAGGACTTTAGGGCAGCCCCCCA